TCCATTATCTTTAATAGAAAATCGTCTCTAATATAACACACTTCCTTAAATCTGGATTACTTTATCCTGTTGATTGTAACATTGTTTTACTTTAGTCATACCATGCCACAGCAGGCAAATGACAGGCTCATTACTAATTCACAGATATTCATAGAGCACTATTTTAAACTGACTCTCTGGAAAGCGTACATTTTTTATATCACTATTACAAGAATGTGGGAATTGGGCTTATGTCCAAGTACTGACCAGATACAGTGAAAATAATACATTCCACTTATTGTTTTAAAATATTTTCCTTTTTTCTGACCAAATAGTACCAACGTAGTCACTTCTAAAATTTACTTGTATTAAAACAATGGAAGGAATCTTCATTCTCAGGTACAGTGAAGTAGATAAAAGTGGAAAGGCCCAAACAACCACTGCAAAAAGTGCAAACCATTTAAAATAACGGAATACCAAAGTTAGACTTTAATGACGTTAGAAAGTAGTGGAAGGAATGAGGAGTGGATGATCTGAAATTCCATACTAAAAAGAACCTTTCATTGTTGAGTTGACACACCAGACTTTTTGTCCTCCTGCCACAGCCGCCAAATTTTTTGTGAATCTGAAGAATTTCCTAGAGAATTTCTAAAGAGCATGTCTTTAAGTAATGATGTCTCTTCATTTTTGTTTATCAAGAAATGCTTTTCCTTTACCTTTATTTTGAATGCATACTTTCAGTGGATACTGAATCCTTGATTTTTTGTTTTGTTTTTTTTGTTTTCCAGCATTTAAATACGTCATTCCACTGTTTTCTAGCCTCCTTTGGGTATGATGAAAAGTTAGCTGATGGCTTTATCACTGTATTTCTGTATGTAGAGAGTCATTTTATGTATGATGCATTTGAGATTTTCTCCTTGTCATTGGTTCAGCATTTTAATTATAATATGTATAGTTATGTGTATCATTGTGTTTGTCCTAAATAAGTTCTTTCAATTTTTTCCTCTAAAGATGAATGTGTTTCATTGCTTCTTGAAAGCTTTTGTCATCCCTCCAAATATTTTTGGCCACTTTCTCTCTGTCTTCTCCTTTCTGACTCATTGCACATTTCCTGGGGTTCTTCACATTGACTGATAAACCTCTAAGGTCATGATTATTTTTCTTTAATTATTTTCTTTCTTTTTCAGATTTGATAATTTATATTAAACTATCTTCAGTTTCATTGATGCTTCTGCCAACTTAAACTCCTGTTACCCTATCCAGTGAATTTTCCATACTGTTTTTATACTTTTCAACTAGAATTCTTATTTGCTCCTTTTCCATAGTTTCCCTTTCTCTATTGAGAGACCCCATTCTTTGAGTCATTGTCTTTATGTTTTCCTTTTTCAGTCCTTGATCATAGTTCTAAATATTCTTTGAAGCATTTATGTGACAACCACTTGAAACTCTTAGCAAAATCCAGTATTTAGGAACAGTCAGAGTCAGCTTCCACTGACTGATTTATCTCAATATGGTTTATGACTTTGTCTTTCTTTTCAGGAATTTTTATGGAAAAATGAGCACTGTAGATAATATATTTTTGTACATGTCTCAACTAATACACAATTCTGGATTCTGTTTTATTTTTCTAAGAGTGTTGAATTTCCTTTTAATAGCTTGCCTGGACTTATGCTGCAGAATCTATACCTTACTAGCTTTTTGGCCATTGATATTTCCGCTTTGTTGCCTTTTAAGTTTTAGCCAGAAGCCGTACCTGTGGCTGCACAGTTTAGTAATTACCAGTAACTTGGGCATTTTTTTTGCTCAAACTCCTTGAGCTCAATCATCTACTTTCTGCCAATGTGTATGTGTGTGGCTTGAAGCGGGAACATAAAAGACACCACCTTCATTTTTATTCACTGGGCCCACTTGGGTCTCTTCACTCAAATATGCAATTGCTAAATCACATCTGCTCATTCTAAGAAAAGCGTGCAGGGATGATCTCTACAATTCTATGACTGCATGGTTTCCAGTAATCCATTATTGAGTTTTAACTGTTGTACCACTCTCCCCAACCAGGGTCATCACCTCAGACTTGCAAAACTCCAGGCTTTTTCTGGGCATTTCCTGCAGAGTTCAGCACCATTAGCTGAAAACACTGAAGGATCTTGTCCTACTCTCCATCCCAGCTCAAGTCAATCCCCTTGGGCAACAAGCTTCCAGTTGTTGCTGCCATTTCAGTTGGTAAAACTAGACTTCTAAAATTCCTGTTGATTAAGCTAGGGTGAAAAAAAGCAGTTCCAGGTAAAAGGCCATAGACTTTTCTTATCTGTTAGTCCGAAGTGCAGCATTTTGTAAGCCACCCGTCATTTTGTACACCTCGGTCAAAGTGAAACATTCCACGGGGGTTGGGACTGTGAGAGACATCCTGCCTAACCACCTGACTACAGGGACATCCCTCTCGTCTTCTGCTGGACAGTGTGCCCAAGAAACATTCTTGTCACACCCTGCTGGGCAAAGGGTACAAAGAATATCCTTGGCATAACTGCCTGACCACAGGAATATCTTATTAACGTCCTGTCAGGCAGCAACTCGTACTGCCCAGAACCCTCCCGCCCATACCTGTAAGTACCCCAGCCTGTAAGCGGCAGTGGGTATTAAGCTAGTCCCCCACCTCCACAGTCTTGTGCTGGACATAAAACCTGCTTTGCTATAGAATGGTTGAACTAATTTACATTCCCACTAACAGTGTAGAAGTTTTCCTCTTTCTCCACAACCTTACCAGCATTTGTTGTTCTTTGATTTTTTTTTTTTTTTTAATCTGAGAAGGGATATTGTTCTGTCACCCAGGCTGGAGTGCAGTGGCACGATCTCAGCTCACTGCAGCCTCCACCTTCCAGGTTCAAGCGATTCTTGTGCCTCAGTCCCTCAAGGAACTGGGATTTCAGGCATCCACCACCACCGCTGGCTAATTTTTGCATTTTGAGTAGAGATGAGGTTTCACCATATTGGACAGGCTAGTCTTGAACTCCCGACCTCAAGTGATCCACTTCCCTCGGCTTCCCAAAGTGCTGGGATTACAGGTGTGAGTCACCATGCCTAGCTTATTGTTTTCTGACTTTTTAATAATCACCATTCTCACTGGTGTGAGATGGTATCTCATTGTGTTTTTGGTTTGCATTTCTCCAAAGATTAGTAATGGTGAGCTTTTTTTCATATGATTATTGGTATCATGTATGTCTTTTTTTAAGAAGTGTCTATTCATGTCCTTTGCCAGCCTTTTAATGGGGTTGTTTATTTTTTGCTCTAAATTTGATTAAGTTCCTTATAGACTCTGGATATTAGACCCTTGTCAGAAGAATAAATTGCAAAAATTTTCTCTCATTCTTAATGTTGTCTGTTCACGCTGAGATAGTTTCTTCTGCTGTGCAGAGGCTCTTTGGTTTAATTAGATCGCATTTGTCAATTTTTGCTTCAGTTTAATTTGTCAATTTTTGCTTTTGTCAATTTTTGCTTTTAATTTAATTTTGTCTCGTCATTTGTCAATATTTGCTTTTAGTTTAATTAGATCACATTTGTCAATTTTTTTGTTGCAAATGCTTTGGGCATTCTCGTCATGAAATCTCTACCCATGTCTATATCCTAAATGGTATTGCCTAGATTTTCTTCTAGGGTTTTTATAGTTTGGGGTTTTACATTTAAGTCTATAATCCATCTTGAGTTCATTTTTGTATAAGGTGTAAGGAAGGGGTTCGGTTTCCATTTTCTGCATATGGCTAGCCAGTTCTCCCAGCATTATCTATTAAATAGGGAGTACTTTCCCCATTGCTTGTATTCGTCAGGGTTGTTGAAGATCAGATGGTTGTAGGTCTCCAGCATTTTTTCTGAGTGCCCTATTCTGTTCCATTTTTCTTTGTCTCTTTTTGTACCAGCACTATGCCGTTTTGATTAATGTAGCCACGTAGTTCTATTTATCATATGACTAAATATCATTTTCTTGCTACGATTTGAAACTTACTCATAGTATATGGAAGTACATCCAAGTGTATTCCGAGGCCATTACTTCACTGACAAAATTCTGAGAGTCGGGATACGTGACCACACTAGGATGTCAGCTGTCACTTCCCCATCATCACTATCATTCTGGAAGCACATTTGCCAGAAACCATTTCCCTTCTCTGGTTTTTGGTAGAGTTGCCCAGTGAGGGGCCCACCCTGAGATTGAGTAGTAAGAAGGGGAAGATTCAATATTATCCATCAGCACCTGCTACAAGACATTTGGACAGAGGTGAGGACTGCAGAAGCACCTGGTGAAGTCCTCCAGGCAGCTGAGAGCATCTGCACTCCCACCCAT